ATACAAAACCTTCCTCCCAAACACGATTTCCACACAATTTTATTAATTAATTTAAATAATAATAAATTACTATGTCTTTAATTTGATCGTTAAGACCAACATGGCCGTCGGTTCTACTCACAAATTTCAAATCATAGTACAAACATTATTTACAAAAGGTGTATGGACCTTTTTTTAAAAACACCAGCCTCTGCTGTTGCGAACCCTTATTTTAAAAAATAAATGAATCTATGAAAAATAAGTAAATTAAAAAAATAAATCACTTATATTGTAGATTGTTTATGGTTGCAAGGAATTTTTTTTATTATTTTTCCGAAACTGCTATCATTAATACATCAGCTGCCAAGGAATACTTGGTTTTTTACCCCCTATTCAGTCGAATTTTTCATAAGGAGAAGCATTTTCCATCAAACCGTGGACTTAACAATACTTTGTATAATTCTTTAATCATATTTTCTAAATGCGTTTTTATTTTATAGTTAGTTTTATATTATTATTAATTTTTATAGCACTAGAAAAGTTCATTTTTATTTACAAAAATTTAAACATGTAAAAATAAATATTATATGGAGATCGTGAGGAGCGGTCTGGTGTGAAATAGGTTTTAGAAAAACATTTTCTTTATCGTGTCAACGTTTCGATCTTTATTGAGATCATCTTCAGGGCCTGAGATTTATAAACATTGTTTAAATCTTACAAATACATGTAGAATATGAATAAAATGAATTTATACAATGATAAAAATTTCAGATTAAAAAATGAATTTATACAATGATAGAAAATTTTATATTAAAACAAAACCATTCTATAAATTCATTCTTTTCGTTAATCTAAAATTTTCTATCGTTGTATACATTTTTTCCACATCCTACGTGCATTTGTAAAATTTAAACAATGTTTATAAATCCCGGGGCCGAAGATGATCTCAATGAAGATCGAAACGTAGCACGATAAAGAAAATGTTTTTATAAAACCTACGTCACACCAGACCGCATCTTGAAATTAAAGTCTTACTCTTCCGTTTTGACGCTTTTTCAACTAATATGTGTAAATTATAATTTTTCGAAATACTTAACTAAATGCTTTTTATATTAAATTTTTATTGAATTGCACATTGTTAAAACATAAATGCATACAAATATATAATATATATATATGCATCATATGCCTATATGATTATGACTAGGGACCGGATTTATATATATATATATCACATATAAATCCGGTCTCTAGTCATAATCATATAGGCTACACAATAGGTCGCAGTGGAATAAAGTTTGGATTCCTTTTTTCCTCCTTCCCCCCCACAAAAAAAGACTATGTTAGTACTGTAAAAAAATCATTTGTTCTACTTTAATTGGTTTTATTCCCGTTTGCACCAAGTGGCATGCCATTTCTGAAATTGCCAGCTCGTTAACCCGCCCCGTTGTCTCAGAAGACCCGGGATCTAGTGTAAATCGGAGAAATTCGGCGGCTAGGCGTGTTGAGAGCTCTTTTCGGAATTTCATGTCGGCCGTAATGCCAGCTAAAGGACGAACTGGGCTAACTGTAAAACGTAATTGTCGGTGTAATTCAACCCTAATTCAATTATGAGGTCGATAAAAGTTGTCTCCTCATTTTCCTGGCGGGCAAATGAAACAAACACTGGTTTCATTCTGGTAAAACACACTTAAGCGATATTTTCACCAGTTTTTATAACAACAATAATATTATAAATGTTTATAAAAATATATTAAATAAATATATACATATGCTAAAAGAAATAATCAAAGTTTATAGGTTTGATTTATTTTAATTATTTTTAAATAGCTAGTATTCTAAGACTAGTGATTGCTCAAACCTAAGTAAAAACAAATGGAAAATTTGTGGAATTTCTGCTGAGATAACCATGTTGGCTTTTTAATATTTCTTCAACAAACCCTCCTACTGTGACATGCAATTTTAAACTTAAAACAATCTACTAGTCTTGTTTAAAAGGGTTCTAGTAAAACTTTGAACTTAATGCCATAAGTTATAAATAAATATTGATTACTGGTCGATATTTTTCATCGGGATGTGTTATGATTTTAAGAAAGATCTTGGGCATCGCCATGGCCACCCGATTAGTTCAATTTTGGCAGAAAGTGATGAAAGACCTTCTAGACTTTTCAAAACAAATGTCAGGTTGAGAATAATTTTGGATAGTAAATTAAACGTTAAGATTAATAAAGATTTTTAGCTGAGATAAAAACTCAATGGCACGAGCGGGATTCGAACCCACGATCTTCGGCTTGATACGCCGCTGCTCTACCACTTGAGCTATCGTGACCTCGACCTTTTTTATCTCAACTAAAAACCTTAATTGATTGTGATATATTAATTGGTCAAGCGGACCACGAAATTAGTGAATTTAATGATTAAAAATGAAGTATATTAAAGCTCTCCGTGGCCATTTCATTTGTCGTCGAGAATCCAACACGACATTTACTTCTTACTCTACATCTACATGATGGAATTGTTTTTCAAAGTAATTTTCCATTCCCTTTAATAAACAAACTCTAATAAAAAGAGAAAAGAGATTTCTCAAACATATTATTTATTTCAGTGGGTAATTTTTTAAATAGACTAAACCTGCAATGCTTCTAAGTCACGCCGAACTGTAGGCCTATTGAAACTTTCATGGAATTTTGTGCCAAGAAACTCTTTGAACTTTGAAAAAAATAAATCTTGGAAAATAAATACATGTATAATTTTTGTTGTCATGTAAATTGGAGACTAAAAGTCAATATTTTAAAGTTGACAGCAAAAGGTTTTCAGACAGACATATGTTTTCTCTACTTTTTACTCAACATCTACATGACGGAATTTTATTTTTATTAGTATACTACGAATTAGTAACTCAGGGTTCTGTGTTTGGAAATTCATCTTTATTTTCCAGAAGATTAACTCTATTTGGTGTGATTATTGAGTAAAGAGTACTAGCATTAGCTTTTTCCGCTTTTCTTCGGTAATCTAGGACAATTCAGAGTAGGTTCTGTCGCTACATTTATGCCTGCCTGAGCATTTGACACCTTTCATTTCTCCTTCACAATTATTAATCATTAACTTCACTAATTTCGTGGTCCGCTTGATCAATTAATATATTACAATTAATTAAGGTTTTTAGTTAAGATAAAAAAGTCAATGGCATGAGCGGGATTCGAACCCACGATCTTCGGCTAGATACGCCGCTGCTCGATCCACTCGGACACCAACTTCCCATCTCAACGCTACCTTTTGAATTTTCCCTCCTTTTTGCCATTTTTTATTTGCCTTTTGTCGTCGAGAATCCAATCCGATTACACGACATTTGAAAAATGGCAAAAAGGAGAGAAAATTCAAAAGGTGCGGTTGAGATGGGAAGTTGGTGTCCGAGTGGATCGAGGTCACGAGAGCTAAAGTGGTAGAGCAGCGGCGTATCAAGCCTTTCTATGGTAGTTCTTTACTGGAGCTGTGAATTTAGTTAGGTCTTAATTTGTTAAGTAAAATTTCCTCTTTCTCCCAATGAGTTTGATTTTGCATATTTCATTGGCACTTTTTGTGGGTTTTAGTAACCCATAACTACAGTAGTTTTATGATGTGACTATACATGCTACAAAATGAACTTGTGCCTATGTTTTGGTCGAAGCTTTCTGTTTTCACTAGGATGTCTACTATCTCGTTGCCAAAAAGTCCTTCATGTCCTGGGACCTTAAAGTTTGACTATTTGTAGATCCAAGTTTTTTAAATTATTTAGTAAGTTCCTCATTAATTTTGGCTTCTCTCGTAGCGCTGAAGAGTCAGAATATTAGAACTACCTGTCTACCTTACAATATAATAATTAGTGAACCTTTGAGATTTTTGCTATCGATCTCATGAACACTTGTTTCTATTACTAAATAACTATCTATATTTAGGCGTGAAACATAATTGAAATATTGGCCAGACTATGATGTCTTATATTATTTTTAATTACAGTTAATTAAGGTTTTTAGTTGAGATAAAAAAGTCAATGGCACGAGCGGGATTCGAACCCACGATCTTCGTCTTGATACGTCGCTGCTCTACCACTTGAGTTATCGTGACCTCGATCCACTCGGACACCGTGGGTTCGAATCCCGCTCGTGCCATTGACTTTTTTATCTCAACTAAAAACCTTAATTAATTGTAAAATTGGTCAAGCGGACCACGAAATTAGTGAAATTAAACTTTAAGTTTCAATTTGATGCCTTGGTAAAAAAGTTTAGAAAATTATTTTATAAATTTAAAATTTTAAGAATTATTCTTCAGCCAGATTTAATGAGATGTGATCAGATTTTGCATTATCACAATCGTTGATATTGTATGAGATCTTAGTTTGTGGTGGTACCACAAAATCTACAATATCTCCAATAAGTATTGTATATTATATGATATAGATCTGTATATCAGCAGGTCAGTTGTACATTATTGTGGTGTACAATGAGTACCAGCTAAATTAGTTTCTTTACTATTGTTGACAATAAGTAATTATGAATAAAATCAACTTTAATTTAAATGATTAAAAAGTCGTGTAAAAATTATATTGTAACAAACGTTTTATATTTCCATTTCATTATTTCTCCATATTATCCTGATAGATATAGGACTTTATTATTAAAAAGAAACACAAGTAAAGTCCCGTTTGTCATATTGCAGGGGAATTTGAAATTCAAGCAGGCAAGATAGCCATTCAGACATTCCATGAAAAAGAATGTATTCGCCGTACAAATGGAGATAGATGCTTCCCCCTTGCTGACGTACGTAATTCCGTGTAAAAAGTGAAGGAATTGTGTATTTTCCGAGATAATAAGTTCACATCAACGCCAGTTCAGAGACACACCTTACAACGTTTTTTTTTATTTATTTATTTTATTTTTATCGAATGCCCCTATAGTTCACTGTGTAATCTATAAGATGCGAAAAACTGGCAACACATTTTTTACTGATAAACAAGTTGTATAAATAAAATCAATAAGGCTTACCTTGAAATAGGGTTTTCACCCCGATAACTTATCGAGGTTTCTATCGGCCCACATACAGCCTTCAATTTTACCGCAATAGTCGTTCCAAAAACCTAAAACATAAACATTAACATTGATTAATAATATAAATAAAAAATATATAAAAGTAATCGTTTAAAAAGTGCTAAACACATTTCCATAAGTGGAAGTAATGTTCTACTATCTAGGACGTGGATTGTCAGGTAAATTGAAAAGAACTTTCTAATTTTTAAGTGATGACGATGATGATTGATATTAGGATGTTAAGCAATTCCATTTCCTGGGTTTTCTTTGTACCCTTGGTTATGTCTCCGTTGTTTCGCATTCAAAGATAATAATAATAATTTCCATCAATTAATTATTCTTTCTAAGGTCTTGGTTGAGACAAAACGTCAATGTCACGAGCGGGATTCGAACTCACATCGAAGTCACGATAGCTCAAGTTGTATAGTAGCGACTTATTTAGACGAAGGTCGACGTGGGTTCGAATCCCGCTCGTGACACTGACTTTTTTATCTCAACCAAGACCTTAGAAAGAATAATTCATTGATAGAAAGAATTAACTTGGTCAATTGACTACGAAAACGACAATAAATTAATAATAATAAATTAATATTAATAAATAATAAGATAAACCGTAAATGGAAGAAAAAAATTAAGGATAAAATAGTAAAACCATAACTAAATGTAAATCATTTAACCAATCTGCACATTTTCGCCTGTCACCTAAAAGCAGTACTTGTAAATTAAAGGGAGGAGTTATGTCAATGAACAAAATTACTAAAAATTAAATCAAAAAAACTTAGGTGTATAAGACCAAATAAATTAAAGACAAATTTTCTCTCAACAAGAGAGAAAACAAAAATAAAATAAAATGCAATAAATTCAAATAAAAATTGAAGAATACAATAATTGCCATATGATGCCAAATATACCACACAGAAAGTTCAATTTATAAATTTAAAATTTGTACAGTAATAAATGTTTTGAAATCACAATGATAATTAAATTTGTTAAAATTAATTTTATGTTCAATTAATTAAGGTTTTTAAGTTGAGATAAAAAGTCAGTGTTTATCTCAACTTAAAAACCTTAATTAATTTAATGTTATTAATTCGTCAAGCGGACCACGAAAAATAGTGAATTCAATTAATTTTATGATTGTAAAGAAACCTAAAAACAACATTTAATGAAAACTTAAAGTAAAAATTAGTGTTTACTTTTGATATAAAAATATTAGTCACTACGTTTTGTCTTGTTTGATACTCATTGTTTGGTTCAGCAAAAAGATTGTTTTTAAAGGCATACATACAAGAATATTTTAAAAACAATTGTTTAAATTTATGAACCTGAAAAATATCATATAGTTGATTGGTATTAAGTCTAAAAGGTTTAGAAAGAAGTTTTCAAAAGAGAATTTTGAGTTAAGATTCATGGATTTAAATAACAATTATTGGTTCAACCCCATGAAACAATACTATAGCAAACTATAGATTGAACTAAATAAACTATTTTTAACAATTTTAAATTTAGGATCTTTCTTAATACATTTATTTATAAATGATTTATAAAGGAGTTACTTACATTTATTTCATTTATTTAATTACTTACATTTATAAAGGAGTTTTCTCAGTCGCATAACCAAAGAATCCATGTGTAATTTAAAATTTAACCTAGAGTCTAATGTATCTTCTAAGTATTTAGTATTATTTATAATTGATATGGGGGAACAGTTACAATTAAATGAAGTAATACACCTATGGAAACAAAATTTAAAGCTCTTTGAAACTAATTTTTTATTTAATGCAAAAATTAAGACATACGACTGTTTCTTCCTCCTCAAATGTGGTCATTTTTGAACATACCCATGTTATATAGATGTTTTATCAGATGACAAAGACCAGCATAAAGTCCTATCATTCCTCCAAATTTAGCCCTCTTTGAGTGTAGCAGTGTGTTTGCCAGTCTTGGTTGTTGTTTTATCACAAGCGTACTGTGTGTAACTTTGTAAGTAACCTCTAGAAATTAACCCTTCTCTTTTTTTTTTATCCATTCATTGATGGTGGATTCTATGTTTTATTACGTTATCCCAAGAATAAGATCAAGCCTTAGTATTGCAGATCCTCGGGTCAGCGTGTCTGCATTTTCGTTAACTAAAACTTCTTTCTGTGATGGTACCCAAGATATTACCAGGTTTAGTTGACCCAGGTTTCGGAGATTTTTGATCCGTTCAGAGACAAATTTTGATGTAATGGTTTTATATCCTAATGATTTAATAGCTACTTAGCCTCCGATCGACAGTTATCGGTTAGCAATTAAAATATAATTAAGACAAATTTGTTTTAAGTATTCTAATAACGTGCTTTTTTAACTGGTTAACTGTCATTTTGGTCTGTCTAATTCATGATTTTGTCTGTCTGGCGCGTTTTAATATTGAATATATCCATATTCAGTGCTGACCCAACCAGCAAGGATGGGCAGACCAAAATTATCTATAATATCCATAGCACAGATTTAAAAATAAGATCTATTAATTAACTAGTCGTGATGTGATTTTTTTTAATGTATCAATAGCTTGATCTGATCTTATGAGTATGTTTTGCCAGTGTAACCTCTTTTAAGATTTTTTAAAAAACAAGTGGTGATTAATTAATCTTACTTTTAAAATAGTGTTCTCTTAGGTCAAAATTCGAACTCGTAATAAGGAAATCGTTTCCTTCCTTTGAATTTTTCAGAAAGAAGGTATTCACCCCCCCCTTGTAAAAAAAATCATTTTTTCGTATTAAAAACACCCAAGCTATTAGAAAGCGTTGTGCCTGACTGCTTTTATGCAGGATGTTTTAACCGTCTGGCGAGATGTCGAGGTAAAATTCAAGTGGCGTTAAGCGCTTAATCCCCGGGCTTGTGCCACTTCGCACCCTCCACTTCTACTTCTATCTGGTCGGAAAAATTACACCGTCATGCTATGAAACTGGTTCTGAGCGAATGTCGTTTTCATCTCTCAACTCGATTAGAGTGTTGATGATTTAGGTGATTCGATATTACTAGGCGTAAGTAATCTCGGGTTAATCGCATTAATATTTATTTCATACGAATGATATTAGTATATTACGTTTAGAGATATTAATATTACACGTAAACCTGAATGTAATAAAAGCGGTTCAGCCCCCTGATGACCTTTCCATTTACAAGGGATAATTGAATTTTGTTATTTCCCTCTTAATATAATTGTGCTTGTGTTGCAAAACATGAAACCCCCATCGTCGTTCTCCAGGGTTTCTCCCATTCAAATCCTGTTTCGTTTCAAGGCTGTAATAAATTGAGTTCTTGATATTTTAATTACTTACGGCCGCGTTCCATTTAATAAATTACGAGTGGAACAGGTTGAAAACCATTTTATGGGCATATATGAACGACCCCTTCATTTACGAGGGGAAGGGTGCATAACAAATAAACACACTGCACTACTGAATAACCACTGTAACCACTAATTCAAAAGAGTAAACGTGTTTATCATAAATCACTGTACCTTTCTCCAGACATTACTAAATCATATCAAAAAAGGAACAGTTATCAGGCCTAATAGAAAATAAACACCCTATTCTTTCAGTGAGGTGTTGAGGAATAAATCAGTATACAAAAATGTCTTTTCTATACCGACATCCTTCCCCACCCCTTCAAAATCCAACGTATATAAACAAACTCTCGACACGACACGCAAGAATGGCACAATTACACAGAAGACAAACACTTTGAGTGAGTAGAAATACTTTGATTGAGTATATAATAAATATATTTTGCATTGTATAAATTCACTTTTCCACATCCAAAATGTAGCTGTTACATGTAAACAATGTTTGTAAATCCCAGGCCCTGAAGATGATCTCAATAAAGATCGAAACGTTGGCACGATAAAGAAAATGTTTTTCTGAAACCTACATCTCACCAGACCGCATCTCACGATTTCTAAATAAATATCGATTAACGGTCACTAATCACCACACAAAAGAGAAGGAAGTTGAATCTAAAACAACCCCGTTAAAAAATATACAACATATTTATACAAATATAGAGTCAAAATAATATAAGGGTAGAGCAATTTTTTTTAGTAAAACATAAGGTATAGATCCAAAAACTGTCAGCATACAACGATTAGATCTCTAGTCACATATTAAGCTCTAGTATGGTCCAAAATCCTCGGATTTTTTTTAAATTAAATTTATTTATTAAAACTGGTCTTATTAGACCAACCATTAATTTTATAATAATATTATAGAAGGAATAAATGTTTACATTCTTATAAACCCATTGGTTCAATAAGATATACATTTCACTATTCACTATTCATTATTAACTACAAAAGTTCATATGGCTTTGTTCTTTCTAATCTTCTGACCATGTTTCGGTTATGTAAGAGTTTGGTCGCTTCTACATTCTCGTGCTGGCTGAGGCGAGACTGGTATTTGGCGGCAAATGTTTGTATTTCCGCCGTGACCTCAGGGATATTAAGATCCTTATGTAAGTCCTTATTCTTTATGTACCAAGGTGTATTGACCATGTTACGTAAGATTTTATTTTGGAATGTTTGTATGATTTTAATATTGGTATGTTTAGTACAACCCCATAGTTGAATACCATATGTCCACATAGGCTTTATGACTTGTTTATATAATAATATTTTATTTTGAATAGCAAGATTCAACGTCCTATCAACCAGTATAGTTGTCTATACCTTAGACCTATTTCTGTCCTTTTTTTCTTCACGTGTTCTTTCCATCTCAGCTTGGCATCTAAGATCATTCCCAGATATTTAGCTGTATTGCTATATGGAGTAGGTCAATCGATTGTGAGCGACATGGTCCACTTTTTTGTTTGTGAAGATTAGATGAACTGATTTATGCTGATTTAGCTTGATTTTCCATTTTTTTGTCCATTCGTTTATCTTATTACATGCATTTTGGAGGATTTTGGTTGAATGGGAGATAGTCGGTCCAAGTGACATCACCGCTGTGTCATCTGCAAACGTTGCAATTTTTATTCCATCTATTTTCGGAAAATCACTATTGTATAACAA